CTATGGGAGAAAGATGTGGCATTCTGCTTCTGTAAACATTTATAGCCTTGGAAACCCTATGGGGCAGTTCTACTCTGTCCCACAGGATCGATGTGAGTCAGAAGTGACTTGATGGCAGTGGATTTGGTTTGGTTTTATCTCACAGAGCTTGTGTTCTCGTGGGAGAAGATATAATAAATAAGTAAAACAAATAAAATTTCAGTGTTATAAAAAATAAGTCAGGCTAGTATAACAGTGTCTTCAGGTACATTTACTGAGGCAGGGATGACTATTGACAACTTCAGATAGTTATCTGATAGAGTGAGGAAAAGTTTTTTTGGAGGAGATGACATTTGAGCTGAGATATAAAATTATGAAAAGGAGCTAGTCATGAGAAGTTCCAGGTTGGGGAAAGCATTCTGGGAAGGAGGAACAGCACATGAGAAACCTGGAAGAATGTAGCTATACATGTAGACAGAAAACTATTATCATATCAATCTAGTACTGCATTTTATTTCTTTGCCAGTTTTCTCCATCATCTTATGAGCTATACATAAGAGTCTTCAACAGCTATTACATATTGTGTGCTGTCAGGTTGATTTCAACTCATAGCAATCCTATAAGACAGAGTAGAACTGCCCTCTAGGGCTTCCTGGCAATAATCTTACAGATGCAGATCACTATATCTCCTCTCCCTCTCTGCGCCCCTTCATACACACTGCCACAGAGCAGCTGGTGGGTTTGAATCTCTGACCTTTCAGTTAGCAGCTAGGTGCTTTAACCATTGCACTACCAGGGCTCCTTATTATGTAGTAGACACTCAATAAATCTGTTGAATAAATAGATGGATTTATTCGTTTAATAATCCATAATTTAATAATCATTTGACTTATTTTATTTATTTTATTTTTCCGCCCATGTACCTCTCTATGTCTTTCTCATCCTCAATGCTGCCATATTGATCACTCACATTTGGTACATTGCCCTTCTCTTCACCCAAATCAGTATTTATCTCTATCTATCTAACAGCATTCCCTCCCCACCCCTCCCACCCCTGGTAACCAACAAAGAAAATTTCCTTCAATAGATAA